GATTAGATAAGATTGTTATTTGAATTTTTTTGTTTTTAATGTATTTTTTGTGTGTTGAAGTTTCTCTAGCGATTTGATAGCTTTTATAGTGTAGGACTGCTAGTCCCACGCCCAACTCTCCATGTTTACCATGGCTTGGGACTGGCTAGAGCACCAGGAAGCTAGTTAACTAGACGAGGTTTGTTTATGCAGTTGGAGAAGTTTAATCGGTTCATATATTTTTTTAACTGGGCATAAAGGAAGGACAATTAGCTATAGACTACAAAGAGGTGTTGCATTATCCGAGTTTGCAGGAGGTAAATGTGTTAGAATAACAAAATAATAGAAAAATGAGAAAAGAAGTTTTTTAAGGTTTTAGTAATTATAGGATAGTCGTCAGAAACTCAATAAACTCATCTGTAGACGTCATTAAGTTTGATCTTCAGGTATATATGAATACTTTTCTTCATTGCATAATTTATGGGAAGCCACATCATACCTTATTATGTGAAGTAACCAGGATTTACTGAAAACATCTTTAGATTGATTTTTTTTAACATTTGACCAGCAGCAAAGCATGTGTAATGTACTTTGCATTACTAAAGTTTTTTCTACAAATGACTTCATTAGACCAAGCTGTTCAGTTTAATTTAGTAAAATTTATCAGAAAGAAAACCAGTATTATTTCATAATGTGGTTACGATTAAAATCTTCCTGTTTTCCGGTTTCGTGTTATCAGCTAAGTAGTACTGTACATCAAGTGTCAATTGAGGAAACCATAATTATGAGCTACGGCATCAGTCGATTCAATATATATATATATATTACTGTCATTCTCCCAGGCAAAATGTTATGCCACTGACCACTGAGACAATTCTGTCATCTAAATACATTTAAGAATTTGTAGCTAATAGTATTTAGAAAGTCTTCTTAGCATAATACAATAAGTGAGGAGAAAATCAGCACATATCAATCGTGAAATCATTCGCTTGTTGATTTGAGTCACAGGGTTTGACATTAAAACAGTAGAAATAGAAAAATATTTAAATTATCATAACTTTCTCCATTCAATGCAATAAAATTGGTGACTAATAAATTATCAGACATGAACAGATTTCAGCCTATCTATTAAATAAGAATATTAAAAGAGATTAAACTGTTGTAGAGGACAAACAGTTGGCGAAATCAACTACTTAATTTAAAGGTAGTTTGTTAGTATTCAGTTAATATGCATCATCAATATCCAGGTGGGGGTGAAAACAGTATGTGTTCGAGGCAAAAGGTTAAAATATCTTAAGTGACGACCCGATATGCCTTCAAAGTATGATAAATGAAAGCACCTTTAATGCGGTATTCATTAATTTCTACTTGTATATATGCAATCATAAATACTAAATTATTATTCTCCACACGATCTCCTCCATGTCACCCTTGCACTGACGTCCCATTCACCGCTTCCCTTCCGAGTTCCACTCGAGCAATGGCCTGACGCGCGCGCGATGTCACCCAGCGGCCTCCTCAGCGAGTGTTCAATCCACCTCCACTTTCTCCTGAAGATTTGCCCGCGATTGCTTCTTGTTTTGTTTGTTCCCATACTTTCTTGTTGGTGATTCTTTCTGGCCCGGCCATCTGATTGATCTTCAGTATAGAGCCAGCGAAGACAGTTGTTGATAAAGGTATGCAACAGCCTGTCGGAGACATTCTTTGTGACCCACTCGCCAAGTTTCTGATCCGTTTAGAAGAATTGACTGACTTGACGCTTGTATTGAAGATCCGACCGAATTTTGTTGCTGATGGTGGCTGAGTGACGAAGATTTCCAGATTGGTTTCAGGTTGATGAATGTGTTTCTCGCCTTCCCAGTTCTCGCTCGATTTGACATTCTCGTCCGTTCCGACTTCCTGTAGTTGAGACAATGCTCCCTAGATAAGTGAATAAATGAATTAACCTCTTTCAAATCCCTCCCGTTGATGGTGATTGACGCTGGATGCTGCTGTTGTTGTTCGTTGGTTATTTTCATAACCTCCGCCTTGTCTATATTCACTTGGAGTCCTATTTTTGCTGTTTCTTCGACCAGTTTGTGGGTTTTTGCTTGTAAGTCTTCGATTTTGTGTGACATCAAACATAAATCATCCGCAAAATCCAGGTCATCATAATTTTTCCATGACTTCAGAAACCCTTCATTTCCATTATCGTGGAACATCTACGGCCAACCTAAAAGCACATAACATATTCTGATCTGAATATTTTCGGTTTTCAATATAAATATTGTCAAAATTTCTACTCCGAACTACATGAGTTGAAAATTAAGTATTCGATTCTGTGTATTACAATTGTGCCTAAGTAGCAGCCTAGGCCTGAAACGAGCAAACTGGTATTTCGGGGTGTAGATAATTTCGATTTGTCAGACAATTACCGCTGATTTGTATATGTGGTTTCCAAGTACCCATATCAATCAAAGGTATTTACTACAGTACAATCATGCTTGCTTTCTCAACTATTGATTGTAGTAAAAAGTAACGGTCTCTTAAGTAAACTGTGGCGTGTTCTCACTTCATACTGTGTAATTTGAAAATTGCCAACTTGATTCAGATATTCTTCTTTTTTAAAAATTTCTTTTCTATCCACAACTAACCATAGATTTTTCTTTCTTTCGGAATTTATAGGGAGTATGAGACAGAAATAACCAAGAAATAATACTATTACAATATAAATTCTAACATTCTACAATTATCCAGCAGTAGAACAAAAGAATACTTTTCAGTACTTTTAACTTCTTTAATTATTGATTCCTTCTAGGTCATTCATAGAATTTTTGTCATTCTGTACGTCACTGAGTAAAAGTATGTCTGGTTTAATACATATTGTTTTTGTTTGAATTCTTTGTAGCTATTATTATTATTTTTGTACGTATTGAGTAAAACAAGATGATGATGAATTGACTGACTGATTTAGCGTCATCATGAATAGTGCGATGATTTTACACAACTTATATTTTTTTAAAGAATTTAATAGAGTAACATTTTCCGATAGTTTAAAAACTGCATAGAATACTACATATTTTGAATTATCACTGAATGTGAAGTATGGCGTTGAAGTATTTACTTGACATGACATTGATGAAAGTGAAACCATTAATAACTATAGATTTAAAAAGGAATCAAGACCACACCAAAATTAGAGATTATGACAACTCTCTGTCTCACAAAGACATCAATCTAAAATTGATGAATTACTGAAATCTGAGCAATAGACAATTCATTGGATTCTGCTCCTTTCAATAAATACAAGTTTGACCACGGATTGATATCAGTGAGAGAACCATTGAAAACGAGGGAATACTGGATAGCTGTTTCATCCTATTTTGGGAATCATCGGCAGTACGCACCCACTGGGATTCGAACCCAGGTTATGAGTAGAATGCAGCGCTTCAGCAGCACATCTCTATTTTATTCTGTTTTGAGCAGTTTTTATTACATGCCTCCACAATTGTCTGTAAGCTTTTATTTCGCCTTCACATGATTGCCTTCATATTACTCTGGAACGTCGAACTTGTCGTTTTCTATTGCGGTTTCACTTGCGTTTCTACCTGGTGCCTGACGTCCCTCAGTGTATGTTGAAACCATTTCCATGAATGTTAGTTGCTTTCTGTTGTTGTTGTTAAAAGATGTACAATTGCTTTCACCTCAACAGTTTTGAAGAACTTTATTGTAAAAGAGGACTTGCAACATGTTGGAATTTCTTTGCAGCAACTAAATATCCATGAAAAAATGTTTCTTTTCTATCAGATGCTTTTTCGTAATAATGAACCATATTTTTAACTATCGTATATTATTTAAAAAGATAAATACACAGTTTTAAAACAGTGTAATGACTGATGTTACCAGAGATGTATTCCTCTAACACTGACTGGCATAGAGTTACTCCATATAGAGTCTTTTCATTTACTGAAAACTTCAAAATTATAATTCACTGGTGAGATTTGAATGCATATGCGTCAGCTACATGCAATAAGGTTGATTAACTCACCAGTACATTTTCCCTGTGAAGTGCTAAAAAGGATTTATCTTAGATCAAAAGCCTCCTGCCTCTGGAACACTCTAATAGCGAGTCACTTAGTTTTGTAGTAACCTTGAAAAAATTGACTGACTGAATTCAGTCAATACCAAAACAAAGGAATGAAAACAAGACATTGAATATTTCATATGGTGACCATTCAATATATACATTATTATTTGTTGGCATATATATATTAATTCTATTTACGTGAACAGACTTCATCTTCAGGATGTATAAATTCACAAATGTGAATTTTATATTGACAGTGAAAAAGTAGTGAGAAACGCCCATCTAGTGTGTTGAAATCACTTTGATTTGACTTGATGTTATCTGTTTTAAATTGTTACTTAATGAAGTCACTCTGCACAATAAGTGAGTTCACACTGAATCAGGCAGCAATTTTACTATGGAGATCAATATTCTTAAATTTAGTCAAGCAAGTAATTCGAGCATTTATTACAAAAAAAAATGTATCAAAGTGTAAACGAATGACTTTGCATACTTTTTATGTGATAGTTGAATTGCTGTAAATACTACATTTAGTTTGATAGAAAAAAGGAGGGCTAATTACAGAATAATTCAGATCTTAACTAAGTCATAGAGATAATAATATTTCTACAGTTTTTCTGTAAATTCTGTTTTTAATTGATTAGCTAGTTATTTGAATGCCATTTAGTTTACGTATAGTACACGTGCACTTAGTCCACATGCACATATATATATATATATATATATATATATACAAGTATAATCTGAATATCTTATGATTACACGTAAATACGGGTGCACCAATCTTTTAGCTTATAGATTATTGAAACTATCAAGAGATGACAAGAGAAAACCGAAAACTGTAAACTCTGGAATCTTTCTGTCTGGAGTATATATATATATATATATATATATATATATATATATGAGTTTTCACCTAAATTTTGAAGTTATCACAAACTGGTCAGCTGAAATACTAGTCTCGAAGTTAAATCGCCGAAAAAACTTCTACTCAACTGAATAAAGAAACTGAAAGGCTGGTGTAACTGTAACAGATAGGAAGAATAATTAACAGAGTGCTATGGAGAAATTTATTGAAATATTTTTATCACTTGACACTAATAAAAATGGTGTAATTGAGAAAAATGAATTAATACAATATTGTAAAAAAGAGAATCTTGATATGCGTATGGTGGAAGTAAGTTATCCTTCTCTTAAATTATATTTTTGTATTAGTTTACCAAAAAGAAAGCCTTTTATATGGTTGAAAGTTGACTGGTGTATGTTCCTAGTAGGGTAGAGCAATTAGCTAACTTTAAAGGGGAATACATTTGTACTGGAAAAGTATACAAGCCCTTTTTAAGCAGTTAGTCTTTTCTATGTAAGTTTAATTTTAACAAGAACAAGAGATTAAGAAACAAATTTTGAAAGGTTGTTGAAACCGACGTATGTTTAGTAAAACAGACTATTAAAGAGGAAGGTATAATCAGTCTAATTGGTTCAACGCCTACACAATTATTACTATTATTATTCCCTTGGGCTTCAACAACACACCTCTATTTCGCTCCATTATCTGCCGCCCTCTTCAGCTGGGTCCACGACTGCGCATAATCTCCCATCTCCTCCTCCCGAAATAATCTATTCCATGTCACCCATAGACGATTTACTAGTCGCTTCCCGTTGTGATTCCACTTAGAACCATCTTTTTGAAACTAGAAACTATTCTTTGAACGTGAATTTTACAGGATAATATGCGACTCAGTATTCAAATGCAAAATATCTATTACCATTGGCTTAGTAGATAAATGAGCTTTAGGCAAATCGATTTAAATGAAATAACACATGCTCATTATATGTCCAATGCCTATCCGAGAAGACAAGTTACAATATGTAAGGCATAGTCTGATTTTACATCTTAAAAAGAATTTATGGATAATGTCAGAGGAAGATGTGCATGAAAATGTTTGATAAATTAATATCATTTACTTCTATGTTGAGTTTTATGTTTAATAGAATACATATCTTCAGTGTAAGTGATTTAAAATGATCGAAAATCAGCTCCTCACTGTGTGTCTACGGCTATTCCATACATTAGACATGAAAAAAAATCAATGAGGATTTTAATAGTAGATTGCAATATGGACATCAGTAAATTGTTTGAATCCACTCCACTTGTACAGGTGACCATTTTTCTTCGGCGCATTCTTTAATCATGATTAACATATTTCTGTTCCTGTTTACACTTGGATAATGATAACGTGATGTATTACGAGTACTTAATGATTGTCTTTGTCTCACTTTAGATCTCAATGTATACATTAGATTGATATTTGTGAAATTATGGTCATTTACATTGTTTATGCAAACTGATAACTTGAGGTAAAATAATTTTTCCAGGCTTTGAACGAGACTAACCAAAGTAAACTGGATGTTAGCAGTAGAACATAAGAAATGACTGCATGGAAGTTTTGAGATCTCATAGGTACATGTATCTGATATGAGTTGAGTTTTTTTTTAAGTGCTAATACTTCCTATATTAACAACTGACCTAATAAATCTAATACTAAACTAGATATATTTATTCTAGCTGGTAAACAGATGTTTAGCTTTATTCCATGATAACATCTGAATTACAAGATGAGCTAATCCAGTATCCATGGTGAGCTAACTAGAAGAATACTGTTCTTTTTTCCGCGGGCGTTTCAATTACACTATTTTGACTCACTCAAAGCATTAAACATCAGTCGTCGAAAAATACGTAGTTTTTCTTGTGTAAGTCAGTAGAATTTCGCTAATATTTAGTATTGTTTCATTCATACTTTCGATTTTTTCAAAAAAGAGAAGCAACAACTAAGAAAGCAAAATAAAAATTCATAATTTTCGATTTTTATTCATTCGAAGTGATATGAAGGCAAGAGGTGTCACAGAAAATCTTCAAGTTCGTGTTCATTTACGTGCTAAAACCTTAGGATTCTTTTGATTTTATCCGTCTGTGGATTTCAGTTCTGCCTACAGTTTCAGTGTTAGCAAGATATTTAGTATGACAAATCCTACCCTCTTAGGACGTTATAGGCCTAAGTTTCTACCAGGGAGTCAAACCACATCTATAATGTTAAAGACTTATCCTCCATCCAACATTCAAATCCCCTTAACGAATTAAAGAGATGAATTTAATTGAAATTCAGACAGTTACATAGATATGTATCCAAAACTTTGATATGCTTTAAACAACACAAGTTATCAGTGAATAAAGTTAATATGCTAGTGTGAAACTTTCGCTTATCATGCGATCCTGTCTCTTTGAGACTACGAAAAGTTTTATTTGTTTGGTTTGGCAATATGAACAGTTTATTTAACATCATTACACTCGAAAAGAATGTACTGAGAGAAAACCTAATAAATCAATTTTCATTTTCATCCATACATCTTAAGGCCGAATAATTTCAACTGTGATACGTGTTAACAACTCCATTTCTTCTTTTCTGACGAATTTTGACTTTAAAATGAACATGTTTTTACCTTCCCCCTAGACAACTTTGAAACGATTTGATACAGATTCAGATGATAAAATTACTTTCTTAGAATTTTGTCAGGGACTTGGTCTAAATCCTCAAGAAATGTAAGTTTTTTATTGTTGAATTTTACGGTAAACCTTCATTTTCCTTTGATTAATTAAATTCAGCAGCTTGAATAGACATTTTAACAGACACTATTCGGTATATATAGCGAAGGACTCTAATCGATGACATCATTTGACACGTCGGTATTTAAGAACAAAATACTCAGCGAAGAGACTCTTTTCAACGAATTTATTATCATGCTGTACAATCGTATATATATGGTTTTATTTTAAGAAATTATATCCGGTGAGGGAATTAGATCAAACGTGTGAATACGTGAAATAATAATGGTATGAAATGCGATTAAAATATTTGTGATTTAATCATAGTTTAATGTCAAGTGGCAAAATAATTAATGTCATATATAGAATAATATATAAGGTGTATAGATTTTGGAAAGGGCTACATAATTATAGGATTAGTAGACTGATATGAAATGTTACATAACATGGCATGAAATTCGATAAGATAAAATTCAATATTGTAAAAATAAAAAATATAAAAATTAATAATTTTGGGTTTAAAATGACCAGTGGGTCAAGTGGAAAAGATTCAAAATGAAATAGTAATAATAATAATGATAATAATAATAATTGTAGTAATAAGGGAAAACTACATAGAATAACTAAATAAACAAAATAATAAATAAATGTCTATCCCTCTATGACCAAGGCAGAAGTAGGGATTGTACATACTTCTTTTGTAGACAAAGGTCTGGCCAAGGCCTCAGCTGTCTTAAGAAGTCTGTAACGAAGAAAACGCGAAATGTTAGCCTGGATTCGATATATGATCTTGAAATCATGGTGAGGGTTGACAGAGTGACAGAAGTCGATCAGGTGTTCCAGAATAGAGCTTCGCACACACTTCCTTTCTCCCTTGTAAAACCATGCTGGAATATGTTCTCGTATCGTGTGGAAAGCGTCCTCTGGCTACGGCCTATGTACCTTGCTCCACAAGAGCGGGTGAACTGATTGATGCACATGCAGGCAGCCACATGGGGAGCTTATCTTTTACAGAGGACAACTTGAGGCTAGTGAACATCATATGTAATTTTGCTGCAAAGATCGTCTTGTAGACTGATTTAGAGAGACGATTTTTGAGCATATCTGAAGCTTGACCACCTTCGAATTCCAAGTTCATGAATAATGTTTTCTTTGGAACTGAGTCGATGACCAGTTTACACTGCTTATCTTTCATGTTACTATCAATAAATCTGTTGGGGTAACCGTTTTCTTCCAGCATGGCTTTTAAGAGGACAAGTTCTTAGTCATAGTCACCCAACTGTAAAAATTAGTTAGTTGTCCGTTTCATGTACGTTTCCAGTGGATAGATCTTTTGAGAGATCCATCATTACGTCTGCTAAAGCACACATCAAGAAACGAAATACTTAGTTTGGATTCCTTTTCTATGGTGAATTGTAAAGAAGGATGGCAGTTGTTGAAAGCAAACAAGACATCATCAAGAATTACGTTATTATTGCAGATAACGAAAGTATCGTCTAAGAATCTTTTAAAAATGTCGAAATGGCCGGTGGTTTGACTAAATTGAGAATTTTCAAGCTTTACCATAAATCAATCAGCCAACAAGGGAATAAGTGAAGTTTCTTAAAATAAAACTTGTCATTCTGACTACCAACCAAAGAGTCATTTCAGATTATAAGACGTTATGATTGGATGAACAGATTATGCTTAGGTTAATCGAAAGTTTTTTAGATGTATCAATGTAAACTTCTGTCTACCATTTAAGTTCTACTATGCATAACATGTAATAAAAGAAAACAGTCAGCGGAATAATCCTTATACTGATTTGCTTTAAATATTTGTTTCTGTAAAACGAAATTCTTGATTGACAAGTTCTGTCTGATATCATATCTAGCTTTGACAAGCAATAAAATGTAGGGCATATATCGTTTTCAACGTATAACATTATTATTATTTAGCTGAGTATATTGTACTTACAGATCTAAACATCTCATTTTTATTTATTACTATACTAAAAAATGCCTGAATAATAAATCGATAATCACCAGAAGAGATCACCATGACACGACTCACCAATTACCGATTGTCTTTAATTTTACTATTTTTTCTCTTCAAAGATCTTCTGATTGACATTTCTGTGTAGTTTTACATTCTACTAGTCATGTGTCATATTTTATGTTATCAAAATCAGAATTAATCGATATGCTCGTAAAAGTTAAAAAGTTAAGAGATGTATATCTTCAATGAATTTAACTGTTGTCATGCCTCTAGCTTGGAACTACTGTATATAAGCCAATGGCTCATAAGTATCCAGATGTATGGAAGTTTGTGGTTCTATGTGGACCAAGCGCATCAAAGATAGGACTTTAAGTGAAAATAGATAAAACAGAGGTGATGAAGATTCTTGGCCAACATCAACAGCAACAACAACAGACAACAATCAGCCAGCATAAATGGGAGGAACCTGAAAGAAACAACCTCCTTTACCTACCCACCTACCTGGGAAGCATCGTTTCAACTACAGGCGGAAATGACGAGGATATCAAAGCCAGAATCGGAAAGCAAGACAGGCTTTCATTACCCTTAAGTCTGTGTGGAGGTCAACATCACTCAGAATCAAAAATAAGATCCGGATTTTCAACTCCAATGTGAAGTCAGTGCTACTTGATATAAGGATCAGAGACTTGGCACGTCATACAGAGCATCTCAAATAAACTTCAGACCTTCATTAACAGTTGTCTTCGCTCAATACTCAAGATCAGATGGCCGACCAGAAAAGATCAGCAACAAAGATCTCTGGGAGCGAACCAATCAGGAACCGATTATGAAACAAATAGGCAGGAAGAAATGGAGGTGGATTGGCCATACACTGAGGAAACCATCAAGGGACATCACTAGACAAGCAATCGCTCGAGTGGAACCCGAAAGGGAGGCGGCGAGTTGGTCGTCCAAGGGTGACTTGGAGGAGGTCATGTGAAGAGGAGATGAAAGCATGTGGGCAGACTTGAAGCGGGGTGAAAATGTTGGCAGAAAGCCGAAGGCAATGGAGACGCGTAGCTGAAGCCCTATGTTCTTCTAGGAATTAAAGGATATAATAATAAATAATAATAATGTGGATCAAGTTAATAAAGAGTGAAAACCAATATGTCAAACATTTACCAAAAAATTTACGATTATTTTACATCTTCTATATTTCCAAATCAACAAAGTTAAGCAATCTTGTCAGTATGAATTTCAGGTAGATTTAAGTAGATAAAAGCGAGAATAAAATCATTTTATTCATGTACTGCAAAGTATTTTTCACTGCTAGCGAATATGTGCTTGAATGTATCTGCAAAGAACAATTTTCCTTAATGTAGCAAAAAATCTAACAGAAAATACCAAGCACTTTCACTGACTGTTTTCGTCAAACAAAGTTCAGGTTATAAATTATTTAAATTAATCCCAGCGTGTTAAGAAAATCTTGTTTTGATTTTCTTAACACGCTGGGATTAATTTAAATAATTTATAATGAATCAATCTGACTTGGCGCTCAAATTATTCCAGGAAATTCGTAACACCTATAAAGTTCAGGTTACTTTCGTGCTTATCTGTCAAATATCGCAAATAGTTGCCCCCTTCTAATGTATTAAAATTTGTTGTTTGTTCTCATTTAGGGCCAAAGAAAAAAAGGATAGAGAAATAATGGCAGAGGGTAAAGCTCCTAAAATAGACCCAGACATCGAGATCTTAAACAGTTCAATGACAATACAAAAGCAATATGAAATAACAAGGAAATTTAAAGAGATATTAAAATCCAAATACACAGATGAAAAGTCTATAAGTACAATAGCTAATGATGTCAAAAAGTATTTAGATCAGAAATATGGTGGATTATGGCAAGTTTTTATCATTGATGGATCGTTTTGGTCGAATTTCAGTCATGAGCCTTTTATGTCTATACAATTCAAGTATGAAAATTATCGTTGTGTTTTCTGGAGGAATCCAGCTGAATAAATATCAGCAGGCATAAAATGTTGATAAATTTTGTTGAAGAAAAATGAAAAGAGTTGTGTTCCCATTCAGTTTAAATAGGGGATGCACAAAATACAATTTTTCTCTTGTCATGTGATATTATGTAATATAATATTGGTAACATATCTAATAAATGGTTAAACTGTATAAAGAATCATTGTCCTATCTATCACAATTCCAAAGTTTGTTGTTGTTAGATTGTTCCTTTTCCTCGCTTATATTACAAAACGTAAAGAAGATAACATGTGCATTCCATCGCTAGAGACATAAGCATCATATCAGCGATGACGTAATCATACTGCTGGTTACTAGGTTTAGTAATAAAACTCATCTCCGGTTAATTCCGACTCTCAAAACCCACGAAAATAGGACAGAGGACAGACCAGTCGATGTGCATAGAACAATTCAACTTATTACAAAAAGATACATTAAATGCAAATAATTAGAACATAGGGAAGTTGAGGCAACAAGTAGTCAGTTGTATCAGTCTCATAATGTCGGGATTCTTGGCTTTCCGATAGCAATATACTCAATATTTTAGTTTGACCCAATGGTTCAATTTATTCATAAAGGTTTAAGGGATTTTTGGCTGTCTTTAGACTGTTTGAACTAGTTCTAACCACTTTCGACGCATTAGCATAAACATACGGTTAAAACAGTGCATAACGTCTACTATTATATTGAACACATGTAATGGAATTCGGTCATAAAGTAATTGAAGGTGATTCAAAACCGTGATATGGATGTTTAACAGTTGTAAGTGTAGCCCATAAAATAAGGCATGTATATCCTAATAAAAGATTTAGTGCTTCCGATTCGCAAGAGGAGCTTATCACAGATCTCTATTTATTTTTCATATTAGTTCCTGAAATACTTATAACTTTGCTACTTCTGATAACTTATTCGAAGTTATGGAAAGCATTTTTCAAACTCCATCTGAATTTCTAAACCTTTAATTTGCAAAATTTTATTACCAGTGTACTCTAAAACATTATAATCCCATAATTCAATGTCACTTTCGATGGTTTCCGTATACCTAAGATGTTACAATAATGAGTACTCGGTAAAATGCATCACCGGATGTTAATTTAATTCGCTATCAAAGGGAGATGAACCTCCTAAATGAGAGATAATTTTGGCTGGACTTAACTGTCCTTTTAAAGCATAAGCTTAGCTCATTGACTTTAATATATTAACGCATACAGTGAACTAAGCGGAGAATTGCACAATTTGTTATTAAAAGAAAAGGATATGGAATTTTGAAGATGGGGAATAGCACAACTACTCAAGAAAGGTGAGAAGAAGCATTTTCATCATAAAATCATCTCCCCCTTCTAGTGCTTTTTACTAATGAAAATGTATTCCATATTGACAGAGAAAATATGCATTCTGTCCTAAAATATATGGACTGGTATGCGTCTGAAATAATGAGAGGGAATGAATCAAATTCTCGGTTTGCTAATTAAGTTGTGATTCGCAGCTTACACAGTTCTTTTGGTAATCTAAATTATTCAGATCACAGTTCGTGTGATCTGCTTGACAACATAAATGGCACCCAAGAAAGTAGGCATAAATGCATCATGATATATATCACTGATTCATTGATATGGGTAGTTAGGGTCCACTTTCATCAACCAGCATTGTTCGCTAGCCATGCTGAAGTGATTTAGAACAAGACATATAAGTGAACAATATAGTTTTTGATTAGATCTTCTTCAGGCTTTACTCTTATTTACATAGATTTATATATAAAATTTTTTAACTAATGGCAGTGATTTTGTGGATCAAATAATGTTAATAATAATGTGGTAAATGTTTGAACGTAGTTAATAACGATGATTATAATGATAACAAAATATTGATAATAAGGTTTATGCAGGTGGCGATAAGAATAACAAAGGTAGTAATATGTGTGTGTGTGTAGACAATTCAATAAATAAATTAGGTCAAATCTTAAAAGTAACGTAATACTAAAGGTGAAGTGGACAGATAATCAAAGTTTAAATAAATATCATAAAAGTACGAAGGAGGTGGAAAATAAGAGTGGGAGGGTTTTGAATGGAATTCACCTAGGCCAAGGGAGAAACAAAGGTAGAACAAACTTCTTTTGTATGCAAAGACTAGGATTATTCTCTCGAATTCGCACATCTTCGGCTGTGTGTAAAAGATGGGTTCGAATTCCGTTCAAAAGGCTCGATGGAATGCGATAGATAACTTTGAAGGCACTGTTTTTGTCCACTTGGTGACCACTATCAATCAAATGAGCCCAGATAGAACTTCTTATAGATTTTATTTGACCTTTTCCGAACCATGAAGGGTGATGCTAATTAACGCGTTTGTTAAGCTGTCTGGCTGTTCGCGCTATATAGCTCTCTCCACAGGAGCAACTAAATTTATAGATAAGCATAGAAGTGGCACAGCTAGGTAGGTTGTCTTTCACTTGAGCAATCATAATTTGTCGGCTGGAAAATGACAAACAAAGGGTGACGGCAGTATAGGTCCGTTTTATAGCTCTCGATAATGTCAGATGTAAGGCTTCACTAGCCACGTCCCCATTAAATTGCAATTTCATAAACAGTTGTTTCTTTTCAACTGTTGTCAATTTCTCTTTACACACATATTATATACATATTACTATCTTGTTATTCTTATCGCCACCTGCATAAACGTTATTATCAATATTTTGTTATCATTATAATCATCGTTATTAACTACGTTCAAAACATTTACCACATTATTATTAACATTATTTGATCCACAAAATCACTGTCATTGATTAAAAATTTTTATATATAAATCTATGTAAATAAGAGTAAAGCCTGAAGAAGATCTAATCGAAAACAATATTGTTCGCTTATATGTCTTGTTCTAATATTAAAAATGGGAATATTTAAAGATTTGAAATGATTTAGACATCAAACGGTTGATCACAATATACGATATGGATACTTTGCGTTTCCAAAGGAAACTATGGGGAAATTTGTTCTCGAACTGCGTAAATTGTTAGTCGGAAACTAGTTTTCAAATCTCGAATTTGTTTTGGTGTATTACCAATTAGCTCGAGTAGGTAACGAGAATTCAGCTAGTTTGAAATGATTCGGCTTTCTGAGTTGGGTCAAAATGGGTACACCGTCATTTATCTGGACCTCAAACTCGAGAAATGGCATTCCGCTGTTAGATCCCTTTTTATCTTGTTGGCAAGCACAACTAGTTGATGCGGATAGTATGTAACTACTTATATCAATCATCAGTAGTATACCTCGGGAAGAAGGAATAAAGGTGCACATAGAAGCAAACCTTAATGTTAGTGTTTCATAGGAGAGAAATGAATAATTTGTTGGAAGAAGGAATTTCAGTGTTGTTGTTTAGATAGCTTCAAGTTGTTTTGTTTTCTCCTGTTATTTGCTTTGAACTTGTCATGGTCTTCGCCATTAGAAACTTTAAACTGCCCTAATATCTTTACAAATATGTACGCGTTTACATTCACCTTTTCGGAAACATTTTCCCAGTGAACCTATATGAATGTACCTTCAGTTTTGTATTGTTTTAAAATTTCATTTTGAGTTTTAACCTTTAAAACATCCCTTAGGTTTCAAAATCTTACATTTCCTCTTTTATGAATTCTGTTTTTTTTGATAACACAATGTGCGACAAATGGGTGAATAATTAAGCTATTCGAAATATGTAGTACTGTCTAGGAATACCACATTCTTTCATGAAGTACTCAGGTGAGGAGATTGATTGGTCAACAAAAGAAAAAACTAATGAATCACCCATTTAATGCAAAATTGATGAGTACATTACTTTAGCTACCGAAAAGTGAGGTATTTGTGATCGCTTAATTTTGAGGAGTACATTTAGGTGTAAATCAAGCAAATGTAATGAGCAGACTAATTGAAAATCTCTCCTGAACGATCTGTTTATAATGTTTATATTCATTTAGACGTTTCGGCTAACTTCGTAATTAGTATACACATTTCCCCTAGACTGTGTATCATTAATTCGACATTTGCATACAATATATTAATTTTGGATCTTTATTATTTGCCTCTGTGCTTGTTGAATCTTCAATCGCATTACTTCTCTGTGCTTGTGTGTACATTGATAGTGTTGTCATTAAACAGTATGCATTTGTTTGAGTTTGCTTGATAGGTCATTCTGACCTGGGAAGCCTTGGTGAATAATTCTTGTTGACAGAGCTTTTGATGCCCCCTCGCTGGGAATATTCTCCCCGATTCTAATATGCCTTTAACAATTGGACTTTGGTTTACTAATTTTGTTTCACAGTACTTGTTTTGTATATAGACAGATACATTACCTGCATAGCTGCCTCATAGCACTGTTGAGGTAATTTTGAGTTCAATGTTATTATTGTTTAACAGAACCTCTAAAATATTGGAGAAAAATTGTCTTTTTCCTGCCTTTGGGACGTTTCGTGATAGCGCATGTCTCAGCAAAGTTTTGTTGGCTATGCATGTAGAATGTAGAGGCCAGTTTCTTGCGTTTAGACGGTAACTGAATAAATTTTTTCGCTACAGGAACACTTTGAAGACTTTTATGATTTGCTTTTATTCAACATTTTATCTTAAGAAAAACGCAAATTCGGAATAATAAAATATAAAACGTTAACACCTTGGTAGTGTTCTACAATAATTGGTTTTTTGCATGCTTCACACACTGAAACAGCATTATACATTGCGAAAATGGACTCACCTTTGTGGTAATGCAATAAGAAACAAACTCATGGATGATAATAATACTTTTTTACTGTATAATTCCAGTTTATCTTTACAAGCTGAATAGACTCATGATGCTGTGATTTCAGGCAATCTTCAGAAAGTTATAGACGGAGCCTGCAGGCGTTCATCTTTACTCAGTATATAGTTTGTAAAGTCAAGATGGACGTATTTTATCTCTACATGAGTCCTGAAACATAGAAACTAAGTGTGGTTATATGTGTCTGCTGATGGCTATTCTCCTATTTCAGAGAGAATTTTGTTTCAGCATAGCACTGTTCACTATGGTTAGACCATTTAATAAACATAATGTGGGTCATCCACAGTCGTAAGCTAACCAACACTATGTACAGCATTATATATATATACACATACAATTAATGCATACATATATACATGCTGTTTGT